GGCATCCTTGGGTTTTAATGGCCCCGTCGCTCGGACGTCCATTCCCCGTGCATTTTTTGATTCCGTGCGTGTATTCTTCGCCAAACGATCCAGGATGCTCCTCGATGGTCCTCGCCGAAGGAAAAAGCACACGTCCGAGGGATGCCAAGAGGATGCGCCCACCACCGAGCGTAGGGAAGACCGGATTTTAACGGGATCGTGCGAGGAGAAGCGAGTCTATGATCGGGTCGGTGATCAACCACGGATGTACCAGCGGCGATGCTGAATCAAGCCTCCCCGGAATGGGCACCTGATCAGAGGGGGGCGTCCAATAGGGGGGATCGGAAAGCATGCACGTGCGCGAAGGAAGGGGGACCAGAGAACGTATTGCAAGAAGAAGAGGGGGCCATTAAAACCCAAGGAGGTAAGATAGCAAAGGGTTCAGCGAATCAAAAAGTGACAAGTGCACAAACATGAACTTTCGGCGGTCCGCACGGATTGCTTGGATCGGAGCTGGCCCCTAGCAGTCAGTACCCCTGTCGCCCCTGGCGCGCTCCGCGCGCCAAGGAGGCAGGCGAACCTTGCATCGAATCGGGAAACCGTAATCGCGGCGCCTGGGACAAGATGGCTGCGAATCGTCGGCGCATCGGACCAGGCACCGGATCGCGAACGGCCAAATCGAATCGCGAACTGGATCGCAATCTGGTCGAATGGAATCACGAATCGGATCGTGCGAGGTGGTCCAGGAATCCAGTCGCAAACTGGACCGCGCGAGCGCGTTGAAGGAGGAGGGAAGAAGCAGACCCTCACGGAGGCCTCCCAGGAAGAGGGCTGCGGGAAAGAAAGAAAGGAGGAGCAAAGGGGAAAGCAGCCCCTGGTCCCGATTCGACCCGAGTTCTCGACCCTCCCCGGCGCTCCCCCGTCCTCGACACCTCCGGGGGTTCCAACCTGGCCTTGTCCCCCACCCCCCCATACGGTCCCCCCCCCTCCCTGGGCCCCCGACCCCCCCCCCTCGCTGGGACCCCGACCCCGACCCCGACCCCCTTGCAGGCCCCCGGGGCCCCCTCCGAATCCCCGACCCCCCCAGACGCCCGACCCCGGGGAAACCAGAAGGTACGGGATGCGGTCTGACCAGAATTTCGAGGGGGAATCCAGCGGTGGCGACGAGGGCCTCCGAGGAGGCCCAAAAAGGGGAAAGCGAAGAAAAGGTAGAGATCTGGGTACCTTTTCTTCCTCTGAGGCACCCCATGATGACCCGCCGGGTCCTTGACCCCACCAGGATCCCCGACCCCCTCCGTCGCCGTCGTCGCCGTCGTCGACGACCGAGGAGCGCGACGGGGAAAGCTCCCCGCCAATCAGCTCGCATCCTCTCCAGCTGCTGGAAGACCGAGACCGCTTCCTGCTCATACTCCTCTCTCATTCCTCCATCCTCCTCCATCCTCCTCCTCCTCCTCCTCCTCCTCCTCCTCCTCCTCCTCATCATCATCATCATCATCATCATCACCTCCTCCTTCCTCCTCCTCCTCCTCCTCCTCCTCCTCCTCCTCCTCTCCTCTCCTCCTCCTCTCCCTCCTCCTCCTCCTCCTCCTCCTCCTCCTCCTCCTCCTCCTCCTCCTCCTCCTCCTCCTCCTCTCCTCCTCCTCCTCCTCCTCCTCCTCCTCCTCCTCCTCCTCCTCCTCCTCCATCCTCCTCCTCCTCTCCTCCCTCCTCCTCCTCCTCCTCCTCCTCCTCCTCCTCCTCCTCCTCCTCCTCCTCCTCCTCCTCCTCCTCCTCCTCCTCCTCCTCCTCCTCTCCTCCTCCTCCTCCTCCTCCTCCTCCTCCTCCTCCTCCTCCTCCTCCTCCTCCTCCTCCTCCTCCTCCTCCTCCTCCTCCTCCTCCTCACCGCTCGCTCGCGAATCCCCGAGCAGCCGCCGAGGCCGCCTTCGGCGGGCCTTCTCATGGCTGTGCCACTGGCCCTGCGGGATTCTGGCATAGTTGCCCGCACTCCCGCTACACTGATGTGTTCAACGAGTTTATGGCATTGCCCGGAAAGGTAGGGCATTTGCTTTACAAATCGCATCGCGATGGGGACAGACTGCTGCAAATATTAATCTTCAGCGAGGAATTCCTGGTAAGCGCGAGTCGTCAGCTCGTGCTGATTGCGTCCCTGCAGCCAGATTCAAGCTGGCGGCCATCAACAGCGGCTGTGTGTCCGCGGAAACAGAAGCAGGCAAAACGGTCCACGTACCAACGGCGATGAAGACCATACAGCGCGAGACCGCCCACGACCACCGGGCAAGGAACCGCCGAGACCACGTTTGTAGAGGCCTCGCAAGTGGGATCTGAGTAAATGGGGTCGGAGGATCGCGCCGCATCGGCGACGTCGGCGTGGAGAACATCGGGCACCACACCGAGCCGCATCGCAGATGCATCGCCGAGGCGGCGCGATCCTCCGGCCCCACCTGCTCGGACCCCGTTTGGGAGGCCTCGCATGTGGGTCCCAGGGAAGCAGCCTTCAGAGCCTGCACCGAGAGCAGTGCCAGCGGGCACCGCACCGAGCACGCGGGCCAGCACGGGCAGCCCCTTCCTGCCCTGACCGCCAGCGGGGCCCTCCCACCGAGGCCAAAGACCTCCCCTCAGGAGAGGAACGACCGGTACTCCAGATTTTATAATAAAGGGAGGGGGGTCGAATTTCGGGGGGGGGTCTCTTCCAGGCTATCTTGGAGGGCCTGGGGGGCTGGGGACGATGTTTTGGAGGGTTCTCCCACGGGGGGAGGTCTGAAATGGCTTGTCTTGGAGGGTCCAGACCCCCTCCCTTTTATTACGAAATCTGGAGTATGCAATGCACAAACCGTCGGAGCTCTGCGCCGACGTCTTGGGTCGGCGCTGGGACCCCCCCTCCCTGGCGCGCAGCGGGGGCCCGGCGCAGCTCCGCGGGATCCGCGCGGGCATCCGAAAGCTTCTGCTCGTGCCGATGCTCGTCCGACAAACGTGACCCTTCCACCAAGCCCAGTCCCTCCCTCGGTTTAGGTGGGGCATCTCCTCCTACAGGCGGATTCTGGACAGACATGGAAAGTAGAAAGAGTCAACAATTGTCAAGAAGAGTCGAAGAATCGTCCCCAGACTATTTTTTGAAACCCGAGGTTCTCTGGGATCCGCCGCGGAAGCATTCAGCAAGGGCACGCCGAGCACGCCCGACGCACTGAGGCTACGTTGTCCCATCAGATCGTGAGAGGCGGCTGGTGACACCGCAGCGGAAAGAACCAGTGACGCTCGGCCGCCTCGCCCGCCACCGCGTCTGCAGCAGTGCTGCCCAGAGGCCAGAGGACGGAGGGGGAGGGACGAACGAAGGAGGGAAAAGGAATGACACCCGCCCCACCCCTCCCCTTCTGCTATTGCTCGCCGAACCTCCTCCTCAGCCTCATCATCACCATCATCATCAGCATCATCATCACCATCACCATCACCATCACCATCATCATCACCATCATCATCATCATCATCATCATCATCATCATCATCATCATCTTCATCGTGATCAGCATGACCATCATGGCCATTTCCATCACCATCACTATCACCATTTCCATCACCATCATCATCATCAACAACATCATGAGCATCATCATAATCAGCAGCAGCATCGTCGTCGTCGACGTCGTTTTCGTCATCGTCATCGTCATTGTCGTCGTCGTCATCGTCATCATCGTCGTAATCGGTATGGTCCTTGTCGTCATCGTCATCAACGTCATCATCGTTATCATCGTCATCATCATTATCATCGTCATCGCCACCACTTCCACCATCATCATCAGCAGCAGCATCGTCAGCATCGTCATCATCATCAGTATCCTCATAAGCATCATCATAAGCATCATCAGCATCATGATCATAATCCTCATGTTTATAGTTATCGTCATCAACACCACCACAAACGTCATCTCCATCAGTATCATCAACATCATCATGATCAAGATCATAATCGTACTCCGCATCGTCATCTTCACCTGCATCGTCACCACCACCATCACAGACATAATATCCAAAATTGAGATCAACATCAACATCATCATCATCATCATCATCATCGTCATCATCATCATCATCATCATCATCATCACCACAACCATCATCATCATCATCATCGTCGTCGTCATCATCGGCATCGAAATCATGATTATCAGCATCGTCGTCATCATCATCATCAGCATCATCATCAGTATCAGCATCATCCTCATCAGCATCATCATCATTAGCATGATGATCAGCATCATTACCATAATCAGCAACAGCATCATGATTTCCACTACACCACCACCACCACAACATCATCATCATCAGCATCGTAATTATCATCATCATCATCATCATCATCATCATCATCATCATCATCATCATCATCATCCTCGGGGTCATCGTTATGACCATCATCACCATCATTATCAACAACAGCATCGTCATCATCAGCATCGTCATCATCATCAGCAGCATCATCATCGTCATCGTCATCAGCATCATACGGTCGGCAGCACCATGGTGATCATCAGAAGCGGCATCATCACCATCATCGATAACAACCGCATCATAGTCATACCGATCATCATCATCACCATCACCATCACAATCACAATCACAATCACCATAATCATCAGCATCAGCATCAGCATCAGCATCAGCATCAGCATCAGCATCAGCATCATCATCATCATCATCATCAGCATCATCATCATCATCATCATCATCATCATCATCATCATCATCATCATCATCATCATCATCATCATCTTCATCTTCATCGTGATCAGCATGACCATCATGGCCATTTACATCATCATCATCATCATCATCATCATCATCATCATCCCCCTCCTCTTCCTCCTCCTCGTCATCACCACCACATCATCATCACCAAATGTCCACCCGATCCCCCTCCTCCCCATCCTCCGACGACGACGCCGACAACGACGACGCCGACGACGACGAGGCCGAGGACAACGACAAACGACGCCGCCGACAGCGACGGCCAGGCCGCGAATACCGGCCTCGGCTCGCTCGTCCGGCGCCCGGCGCCAGGACCTGACGGGGGTTGCTTGAAGGTGCCCCTGGCTGAAGGATTGAAAACAACTCACGGAAGCTTTAGGTCGTCCCTACGGCGCCCAAGCTAGAGCGCCCAATCGAACGCAAAGTGGACACAATGCATCCCCATCAGATGTCGCTATGAGGCGCTGTTGGTCGCGACTGGGCGCTGTTTGCGCGCTAGTCGGCGCTAGTGGGCGCTGCTAAGCGCTGCTCGACGCTACTTGGCGCTATTGAGCGCTAGTCGGCGCTGGTCGCCGATGTACAGCCAATCCAAGACGAGTTAAAGCTTCTGCGATCTACTATCTGACCAACCCTGACCTTCCAGGAGGGCTAAGAAATAGCACCGACTTAAAAACCGATCCAAAAGCTATTCTACGTCTTGGTTTTAGGCTGTTTCGCTCAGCTTTTAGGTTTTTAGGCCTCCAATGCTAAAAAATAGCTCTCTGGAAGGTCAGGGAAGGTGTCCCCAAGACTCACCGGGAGGCCCAGATGGCCTCCAGAGCACCAGACGGCCCCAGAGGCCCCCAGCAGAAAGCGACAGGCTGGGGACACCCTTCGGCCAGGGGCACCTTGGCAGAGACCTCCCAGGTGAAGTCGGAATAGATCGGCGGTCCATCGGCGCCGTCGGCGTGGAGAAAGTCCGCCGACCTGTCGGCGTGTGTAAAGGGGCCTTTCCGTTCGAGTCGGGCTTCTCCGTTGGAATCGTCGTCTCCGCTCTCCTCTGTTCCATTTGCCTGGGCTCTTTTCCTCGCACGCGCCGTCCAAGAACACCATCGGGGTGGAATCGAAGGGAAACCCCTTACCTTTGAGCCCTTCCCCGCGCCGGAGGGGGGGGTCCTGGGGAGGTCCCATGGGGGGGGTTGGGGGGGTCCTGGCCCTAACCTTCCAGGAGGGCTAAAAAATAGCACCTGACGTAAAAACATATCCCAGAGCTATTCTACGTCTTGGTTTTAGGCTGTTTCGCTCAGCTTTTAGGTTTTTAGGTCCCCAACGCTACATAATAGCTCTCTGGAATGTCTGGGGGGGGGTCGCCACCCAAATGCGTTTTCCCCCCGCGCCCCCGGCTAAAACAGGGCTAGGATCGGGATAAATCGCTCCAGAGCGTTCCAGAGCGCTCTCAGAGCGTTCCGGAACGCTCTGGAGCGGCCGCGGCGCCCAATACATCCTCCAAACCCGCCGATTCTCAGAGATATCGAGTTATCCCGATCCGATTTTGTCCCGATCTTCGCGTGGCTTTACCGGCCCGCTCTGGCCCTGGCCCGCCGGCCACCGCTCCAGCCCCGGCCCCAGACCCGGACACGGCCCAGCCAGTGGGGACCACCCTGACCTTCCAGAGAGCTATCTTTTAGCACTGGGGACCTAAAAACCTAAAAAGCTGAGCGAAACAGCCTAAAACCAAGACGTAGAATGGCTCTGGGATAGGTTTTTACGTCAGGTGCTATTTTTTAGCACTCCTGGAAGGTCAGGGCACAGCCTGGCAGTGCGAGCCCCGGCGCCCCGGCCCCGGCCCTGGCCACGGGCCCCCGGCCCCAGCCCCGGCCCTGGCCACAAGCCTCGGCCTCGGCCCCGGCCCCGGCCCTGGCCCTGGCCCCAGCCGCGGAGCCCAGCCCGGGCACCGACAGAGCCCAAGAGGCCCCTAAGAGAGCCCCAAGAAAGGCTCCAGAGAGTGTCGACGTCGTCGTCGTCGTCGCCGGTGCCGCCGCCGCCGCCGCCGTCGTCGCCGTTCCCCTTCAGGGTCGGCGGCATCGGCCGCTAGGCCTTCCCAACAGGGCTCCACATCGCGCGTCATCGCCGGTGCATCGACGATGCGGCGCGATCCACCAACCTGGCAGTCCTAGAGACGCCCTTACATAGAAGGCCCCGAACCTGGTGGCCGCCGCCGCCGGTGCGCCCAGCGCCAGCAGCGAGGCCACTTGCAGCAGCCAAAGTGGGCGGCCGGCAGCACCTGCTTTGCGCGTGCTGGCCGCCGCCGCCCGCCGCCGCCGACCACGCTGCCGTCCGTTGAGGGGCGAGGGTAGTGGCGACCCACCAAGCCACACCAACCCAACCCGAAGTCGCCGTTGGGGCTGCCAATTTCCTGTGGGGGGACGTTCGGGAACATCGAGAAACACAGTATACCCCCCAAACAAAAATTGAGGCGTCTGGGACCTTCGGGTTGTGTTGGCGTGGGTTTGGCAAGTTGTGAATTAGCTGGGTACCAGTTCAGGGCGGAGGGGGCACGAGCTCACATCGGCCTGAGGTTCGAGATTCGAGGTGTTCCGGCAACCGAAGGACCACGTTAGGGGGAGACCAGCTCAGGGGGGAGCATCGAGGAAATTGTTGTTCTAATCATCCTGTGGTTTGGGGTCCTCGTTTTGCAGAGACAGCGCCCCGCGTCTCCTCGCCACTCCTGTCCTCTCCTCCTTCCCCCTCCCTCCTCCCATCCCTGCCTCTGCCCTCCGCACCCAATACAGCGTTTCGTGGCCCAATCGGGAGCTCCACCGAAGGCCCCAGTGGCTGTGACCACATACGTCCCGCGCCACCCAGTACGGCGCTTCATGGCCCCATGGGGAGCTCCACCGAAGGACCCAGTGGCTGTGACCACATGCGTCCCGCGCCACCCAGTACGACGCTCCGTGGCCACACAGCCAGCTCCACCGAAGGATCCAGTGGCTGTGACCACATGCGTCCCGCGCCACCCAGTACGGCGCTTCATGGCCCCATGGGGAGCTCCACCGAAGGACCCAGTGGCTGTGACCACATGCGTCCCGCAACACCCAGTACGGCGTTTCGTGGCCCCACAGGGAGCTCCACCGAAGGCCCCAGTGGCTGTGACCACATGCGTTCCGTCTCACCCAGTACAGCCTGTCGTGGCCCTATAGGGAGCTCCACCGCAGGCCTCCATGGCTGTGATTATATGCGTCTCCCCCCGCCCATTTCGGCAAACCCCTCACGCGTTCCGTGGCCCCATACGGAGCTCTACCAAAGGCGCCATTGGCGACGCTCGCATGCGTCCCTCCCTTCCATTTCGGCATACCCCTCACGCGTTTCGTGGCCCCATAGAGCTCCACCTAAGGCCCCAACGGCAGGGTTCGCATGGAGGCCCCGCTCCATGTCGGCACACCCCTCACACGTTTCGTGGCCCCATATGGAGCGCCACCGAAGGCCCAATTGGCAACGCCCGCATGCGTCCCCGCCCCATTCCGGCACGCCCTTTACACACTTCGTGGCCACATGAAGAGATCGACCCAAGGCGATACTCACAACGGCGATACTCACAACCGCATATGGTTGGGAAATACCCACAACGGCGATACTCACAACTTCAACTACCCTTACGGATGGGGATGGGGTCGGGCCCCGGTGGGGGTAACGGTAACGTGGTCGGCCCCGCGGGGGGGGCCCTGGGCGCCAGACGACGACGACGACGACGACGGCGACGACGGCCGAGGACGAGGACAAGGACAAGGACGAGAACAAGGACAAGGATGACGACGACGACGACGACGACAGTCAAGACGACGATAACGATGACGAAGACGGCGCCGATGACCACGACGGCGACGACCACGACGACGACGACGGCGACGACGACGACGGTGACGACGACGGTGACGACGACGACGACAAGAACGACGACGACGACGACGACGACGACAACGACGACGACAACGACGACGACCACGACAACGACGACGACGACAACGACGACGACGACGTCGACGACGACAACGACGACGACGACAACAACGGCGACGACGACGACGACGACGACGACGGCCGGTCTGAAGGTCTCCAAACGTCTCCAAAAATCTCAAGAAGTCTCCGAAGGCCTCTGGAGGCGTCCGCAGGCCCTGCCAGTGCCTGTCAGCGCCGCATGCCCCCCCCCCGTATGTTCGTTACCTTTTCGGGGAGGAGCGGGGGGCGACGACCCCGTAACAGACGTTACGGCTTCGACGAACAAACAAACAATCTCAAGCTGGAGTCGACCGATACGGCGCCGACAAATCGGCGATCGGCCCTCGATAGCGAATCTGCACTGTCCTGGGCGGCGTGGGGGCCATCGGGCCACTATCGGCGATCAATGGGCTATTGGGGGTCGATGCATCATGATGCATCCCCCCTGAGTCCATCCCGCCTTGCGTTGCCCCTGATCGCAGCCATCCTTGTCGCAGTCCTCGGCTTCGTCGCCAGCCCCGCCGTCGTCGCTAGACTAGCAGAAGTCGGCATGAGCGTGCAACATGATCATTCAGGGGTCCGCGCCGACGTCTTAAGTCGTTGGCTGGGTGCCCCCTTGGCGCGCTCCGCGGGAGAGGAGGGTCCAATGCCGGCCCGAGAGATCCGTGCGGACCTGCGAAACAAGAATTCGTTGAGGGAGCAGCAGGTGCCGATACCGCTACTCTCAGGTCGGGCATGTCCTCCTGAAGGCGGGTTTTAGACGAAAAATAAAAAATACCTCCCCACCACACCCCAAAAACAATTGTAAAACAAATATTCGCAAAACGATACCCCGGCTCATCTTTGTTACTATGTTTGACTAGTCCTCCTGTAGAGGGACAGGCCCAACGTAACGCCGCTCGCTGGGCCTCTGCTGGGGCGCGCTCTGCCCAGTCTGTCGAGGATGGCCCCTGCCCTTTGTGACGACGACCAGTCGGGCTCTCCAGGACGAGCAGCGGTGCCGGCACCCTGGGCTTCTTCATATAAGCGCGGGGGGGTAACACCCCCGACGGTGGTCAGCCTCGCCTCGTCGTCGCGCCGCGACGGGGGTCGGAGCGCCTTCGGCGCGCGGTGGCTGCCCGCGACGGGGGTCGATGTGGGGCTGCCGGCGGGGGTGCCCCGCCCCCGACGCACATTCAGAAACTCGGAGTACCCTGTCCAACTCTGATTCACGCCGATGTCTGCTCGAGTCATCGTCACCGTCTTCGCCACCAGTGTCGTCGTCCTCGTTGTAGTCGTGGCCGTCGTCGTCCGTCCTGGCGCCGGCCGCCAGGCGAGCCCACCGAAACCAGGGAGCGGCGTGGTCGTCATCGCCGCTGCCGTCTTCCACGCCGCCGCCGCTGGTCGCCGCGATCGTCGGCCACAGTTGACGCAGTGGTGCAGGCTTCTGGAGCGCCACATCTCAGATGGTCTGCTCTTTCCATCTGGGCGTGCTCATCGACGTCGGCCCGTTATTGAGCCCCGGGGCCCGGCCGTGGGCCGCGGGGCCAACAAAGATGAATCCGGGGCGAGAAGCTGACCCCGGGGAAGGGGTCGGGACCTGGGGCCGCGCACTGAAAAATGAGATCGGCGGATGT